CCAGAGAGGAAAACCAGGCAATGGTGGAGTGTATATCAAAAGACATTGAGGAATAAAAGGAGAGTGCGAGATAGTTATAGTAGGAGATATGAATGCGCACATAGAAGATATAGATGGTTATACTGACCCAAGAGGCAAGTGATCATGAATCTATGTGAAAGGCATGATTTGATCATTTGCAACAGTACTGAGAAGTGTGAAGGGCAAATAACACGGGAGGTAGGAAGGCTGCAGTCGACGGTAAATTATGCATTGAGGTTATTGAGAATGTATGATAGGCTCAGGGCACGGTGTAAGAATAGTTTAGGTGGTGACACTCCGCCGTCCCCTCGGCAACCGGCGCGACCACATTGTGTTCGGAGCGTGCGGCGGCGCGGATTTCGCAATTGTTGAGGGCGCTGCGGTATGGAGTCCCAGTCGAACCGGTCGAACGGCGAGCGCGGCTTGGCTCACTGCTGCAGTTGGTGCTATGTTGTGCTTTAATGAATATAGAGGGAAGACAAAGGACATCCTTGTCTCACAGAACTTTTGACATTAATTATTTTCCCATGAAATTTGTTGATGATGAGCCGCGGTTTACATCCAGTATATGCCATTTTCCAACTGATATCCGAAGTACACTATCAAACATTCTAACATAGTCCAACAAAAAAATAATTTCATGGGGTACCTGATCAAAAGCTTATTTCTAAATTTATCTGAATCATCGCGATGTAACTACTTGTGGCATACTCTGACTTGCTAGACCCTCGGGAGGATGTCACAGAGGTATTGGTAAAGGACCAACACGTATACCCCTGCTTAATCAGGCTCCAGTCAGTATGCGTGCTGGACTAGGGGCCCCTATGTGTCACTAGAATGTAGTTCTGAGTGTCACGAGTACAATGTCCTTCCTATGTCATTAGTAATCATGCTTAGTATCATTTGTATAGGCAAAAGAAACGGGCGTAGACCAGTATTCAACTGGGACATGTAGAAGCTTAATTCTAATTTCTTGGAAGATTAGACATTTATGAATAGTGTTTGAGAGGCGTTGGCAAACATAGACGGTGGAGACGAAAAATGTAGAGTGGAATTGGAACAATCTAAACAGGTTAATAAATTGAAAGCTATGAAGCGCTGAAGTGTTATAAAACACGCAAATTTTGAAGAAGAAATAACCCAATGCTCCAATCTTGAAGAACTGCTAGCAGAGAAAATCAAAACTCCAGGCTTATTTATTAATGACATAATGTCAGTAAAGTCGAAATTGGAACAAATTGATGAGGAGAAGTATCGTGATGCTCAGATAAGGGCAGGGGCGGAGAAGATGACAGCAGGAGAGAAGCTGACCAAAAGAATGCTGGGTCTCGAAAAACGAAACGCTCAGCGGAACGCCATACATCAGATTGAATACATGGGTAATGTTACAAGTGAACAGAAATCTATAGAGGATGCTTTCAATGAGTACTACAGCACGCTATTCGATAAAACGAAGTGAACGTAAATGAATTCGAGAATGAATTTTTAAAAATAATGTCAAAAGCCGAATATCGCAGGAAAGACAGCTTAGAGCTTCTTATTTCGGTAGCGGAACTGGTAAAAGCAATCGCTGCCCTCCATTTGGGAAAATCCCCAGGACCTGACGGCTTAACGGCTACCTCTTATAAAGCGTTGAAACACGAACTAGTACCGATTTTAGCAGAGGTTTTTAACGAAGCTTGAGACATAAAGGTTCTGCCGCCTTCTTTTCTGCTATCTCATACTATATTATTTCAAAAACAGAAGACGCAGTTAAATTACGGGCAGTGAAGTCGTGCAGACCAAGAAGTCTATCAAATATCGACTACAAGATTTTGATGAAAGTGTTAGCAAGGAGATTGCAGACAGTTATTATTAACACTGAGCTACGCTGGTGCTTGCGACTTGTTGGCAAACTTACCCTAGGCAGGTTTGATGTCGGGAAAGCAATCGCGTTTATACGACTTAAAAAGCGTTTTAAAACAGCGATTGAACAGCCAGTCGTCGCACAATGCGAATAGCGTAACGAGTGGGCCGTCCAATGATCCAAATCATCACAAAAGCTTGTTCTTGTTCCCTTATTAACTGTGGCGCATACCCACTTCAGCCATAATTCCTCATCGTCGTCAGCTACTGCATGACACAATTGACACGAAATTCCTTGTAAGTGTTTAGCGAGAACATGTTTCTCAGAAGAATGACGAAAAATAGCATATGCCAACCTACTACCCAAAAGCTTAATAATAATGCCCTAGTAAGTATCAAGCAAGTTTGCTTGCAGTACTTACCCGATGAGTGTTTTGAAAAGGCTCTGAAAGGCCACGAGGACCTAGAATTTTAGTGCCCGAGAGAGGACATTGCAACAGAAGGCGACAAACGCACTGCTTAAATTCCTACGCGACACGGACTTGAACAAGCGGCTGTAACAGCTATGTCACACACCACGAAAGACAAGACTGGACTATGACTTAGTGTGCGCGCGTGTGCTGCCTAACGTGCTGTGTCTATCTCCCTTCTCTCTCTCTTCTCTATCTTTCATCTCCCCCATCCCCCTCCCATGCGCAGGATAGTAAGTGGCTGTCTATAGGCTGATTAGCCTCCCTGCCATTCTTTTCCTCTTTTTTTTTTCCTTCCTCTGAAAGTCCACTCTTCTAGCTTTCGCTGTGACTGCACTGCGCCTTCCACGCAGGCCTGGCGTTTTTCTTTGTCCCAGCGGTGTTATACAATGGAACTAATATCATAATGACGACATAACAACGCCTTCATTATCACACGTACAAGTCGAGCAACTTTTCCCTGGACCCTGTCTAGACAACCTATCTTGGTTAGGGATTCAAATAATTGATGGCTGCTTGTTTTCGCATATACTCACGGTTACAATACAGGGTTCGGATGGCATCGTCGTGCAACGGGTGCCTGACAACATTTCGTACGATGTGTGAATAGTGGAGATTCGTATTACGCTCCTTCTGCCCAGTTCTGCCGCTATTGTTGGAAACATGTATCCTTATTTAACGTAACTGAAGCTAGTGGTAACACAGAAGTAACCAAGGATATGTTTCGGCCTCCCGTCCAAAGGTACAGGCTTGCGCATGATGTTGGCGCATGATGGAACAAGGCGCACCAGTTTAACAATGCAACGTTGTCTCTGTTTGCTTTTGGAGTAAGCTCCGATGAGGAGGCGAAACTATCATTTAAAAGCAATGAAATGAAGTTGAACATGCTTTGTGCGTAAACAATGAAAGAAGGGGTTGAACTGCGTAAATCTGGCCAACATGAGATCTGGGCTGCTCTACTGTCGAAGCAGCGAGTGAGCTTCTTTCTTTGGTTGTGTCACTTTAATTCACTGCCATGACAATGGTCTGTTTAATGTGTGCGTGGACGGTGAAACTTTTGATAGTAACGTGCCCCACTCATCACTGTGTATTTGGGAATATTCACGCGAAAACTGCCAAGGCAAGAATATGCATAAACTGAGGCTGCGCAAGATAACATTCGTAAGGTCGGCTGTCAGGCTCTACTGGCTTAGCCATGTACAGAACTTTAACAATATGACGAAGAGATAAAGTATATCATTTGATAAATTTGAGATTCATAATTTATTGTTATTCATTGCATACGTTCTGTGGCTTTGTGGAGGTGCTTTGCTTACTCTTTCATTTCCTGCTTGTGACTTCGGGTCAAATTTCCAAACCTATATTTCCTGACTTAATTATTCCATTGATGTGCGGGCTCCACTAGTGATATGTACCGCATCGTTATTGGTAGAAATATTTTCCTTCCAAACGTTTAGCTTACAATTATTTTGTAAACAAGGGCCTGCGTACGTTTCTGGAGGAGATCGATGTTAATGTTTGCCAGTGTGAAAGAAATATTAGGCTTTTGCGTCTATACTGACGCACCGAACAATGCCTTGTTCGGGGCCACACGTAGGGCTTTAACACATTAGGTGACACCACTGTTATTGCGTCGCCACCATGGGATCATCTAAACAACCCTCGGTTATATGTACAGAATCAGCGTTGTGCTATTGTGTTTTTATGCTTCTACGCTTAAACGAGGAAGAGGAAAAGGCAGAACAAACAAACAAAAATAGTGAGAGAGGGGACATCATCGGCCTCCACTCACCTTATATTCCAGCAACCAAGGCGCAATATTCGGGAGAGTACTTAGTATCGCAAGTGATAATATTACTATCCAAGTTTTATTCCGCTGTATGCCGAAGGTTGTCGTGAATCGGGCTAAGTTAGGGCGAAAACAAGTTTTTATTGGTGCCTGATAGCGATGCATTGCTGCGTAGAGATGGTGGTGCCATCTGCTACGTTTTTATGAAAACATTGGCATTCTACTTAGAGCAGGCGCGAAGTACGTTTGCTCATTCGTGGGCATTACTCAGCGCTGGTAGTGTGTGAGCAAATGCTGTGGCTGAATTACGCCCCCTGTTGCTGAATGGAGATAGAACAGAAAACCCCAGCAAGACATCACCCAAAAAATAGGGATCTTTTATAATCAGTTTTAGAATGACTTTATTGTTTCTTTCAAAGACCAAATGCTTCGATGAGCACTACATTTTTATGGCTATACGGCAAAGCGTACAGAAGGCGTTTATGCCGAGGTCGTTCTGAGGTCGCACTGTCCCTTGTCAGCGTGCGCGTAGTTTTTGATGAAGTCGAAGAACATGGCCACCCGCGTGTGCAACATCGGGTGCTCGCCCACCTTGCAGCCCTTGGCGCCGCCAGACACAACGCCGTGGAGCGTCCAGGCACCGTCAACCTTGCTCATCACGGGACCGCCGATGTCGTGCTGAAGCAAATATAAATTTTCCTTAGGCCCCTGCTCAAATTTTGAGCCCCACTTATCTGAAGAACAGCACAGGTATATTAAGTTCAGTGTCTTATCCGCGCAGAAAGTTGAGCTAAAGGCAAACATCGATTCTGTGTCATCTAAAATTTCTAACAAGTTTTTATACCCATCATTCTAACTTCGCCCAACAGAGAAGCGAAGTAAAGATAATCACGGTTCACGCAACATTCTTCAGAGGCGTTATAGATTCGTTATCGATTCTATAGATTCTGAAATTCGTGTTACGACCGAGTTTACATCTCGTATGACTCAGCATTATCGTGGCAGTAGCAGGGTAGCACGAAAGGCCGAGACCAACGCCTCCTTCATTTTTTTTTCGATGCCAGTGAAAACGCGCTTAAGTTTATCAACGAAAGCTGCTGGTCCGCCATAGTTCAGGAAATGGCCGTGATGTGACGCTGCATGAGAGATCGCACTACTTGCGTCACACGTGCTTCCGAGCACTTTCCCCCGGAGATGCGATAGACATGTTTCCCACTGTAATATCGTACGTCTGTAAAAATTGTTCTTTCGTGCTCCTTTTTTGTGGCTCGAAGCAACGCCGCCACCGCACCACGGCGCAGCACGTCAAGTAGCGTTCCAGTGACGCTTCACTACTGGTTGCCCGCACAGCTCCACGAACGGTGACAGTCTATCTCAATACACCGAATATTTTACAAAACCAGCGTGACCGCCAGCATAGTGAACACGAGGAATGCAAGGCGCCGCCCCCACGGATTTGTACACAACTAAACAAAAAAATTACTTCTTATGATTTCCGTCGGTAGGCACTGCATGAGGGGGCTCCCTCCCCTATGACAGCAAAGCACACGCGAAGGCTAGGCGATGGGCGAGAGCAGGGAAGGGCTAAAGGAGAGGGTGGTGAATGGCTGGATCGGGCGCATCTGGCTGGCATTGATAAAATTGAGGAGGAGTTGGCCGAGACAGTAGTATAGATTAAAACCTTTCCAGCGTCACATCACCTAACATATGATTTGACCTGTACCCGTTATGACTATGGCTGCTTGCACTGCAAGTTTTCACGTAGTAAAAAGAAGAAACAACAACAGGGAGAAGACGGGGAGGTTAAACAGGTATATATCCGGTTGGCTGCCCCACGCTATCGGAATGGAAAAGGGTAGTGGAAAGATGACTGAGAGGGTAGGATGAGATGAAATATTGAAATTATTAATTATTGCGCTGACGCGTTTGCTAGTTTCTCTATCAATTATATATATGGTGCGATGGTACTTGAAAAGAGGCCAGAATTGACGCAATAGCAACGAATCAAAGAACTCATCGCTGTAATTTCAGAAGTTGACTGTGCGCATTACCCTCATGGTAGCTTGATCGGCAGTTTAGGGGTGCTACGTGGGATGACCCGAGCTTCTTGGACAGACGAGTTTGCTCCTATTTCGCTCTGCGGAAACCAGTGCATCAAGACAGTGCGGAGCACGTGATAGCAGCGTTGATAAAAATGGCTACAGGAACGCGCGTGGCGTTGGAAACGCATGTGAGACATTTGATGCTGATGCTGATGACCTCTGATGGATGGCGATTACCCACAAAGGGGGATGGGCCAAGAACCGGGCGGCAGGATACTTAAATGAAACTAAACTGAAAATGAAGCCAATCTGAAAAAGTAGCTTAAAATAATACTACCAAAAAACAAAAATGTGTGCTGCAAGCGGTCAAACCATCTTTTGTTTTTGAAAGACATAATTACGAATTATAAACTAAATATCTGAAAAGGTAGTGGTTCACTGGCATGGTAATCTTTTAGTTGCGTTGATGTAATCAAACACAGCGGAGCATACATCCCTGTGGCAGTAACCAAATGAAGTTCCGCCAAGTGATAAAATTACTGGTAAGTTTACTTGTATTCCTAGCCTTTGTAATGGGGCTACTAAAAATCTTTTTCTCTGATAAGAATAACGATGACAGAATAAAAAGAAATGTTCAATTGTTTCAATTTCGTTGCAGCAAATGCATAGCGGTGACGCCTTGAGCTGAGCTTTATTGAGGTAATAATTTAGTTGTGGAACTGCACAGCGCAATCTGGTATAAGTGACCTCTAACTGGCAAGATACACACCACTGTTTATTCCAGCAATAGCTCAAATGCTCGAAATCTTTGAATTTATCCAAATTACCTTTTCCCTATTGCAGGCAAGCATTTCGGAACCTTAGCGCGGTTACATAAGCCGTATCTAGCAAAACTGGGATGGTGGGCCCACCCAGGGATACTGCTGCTAAAGAATCCGCCATTTCGTTCAAATATAATCCGCGGTGGCCTGGTACCCATAGCAAATGCAGTTTTTTTACGTTTTTGGGGACTAAATGCCGAAACGTATTCTTCAGCTCTGAATTTACTGCCGCAGAAAGTGCATTACAAACTGATAAAGAATCTGTAATGATAACTGCTAATGATTCGCTTGAGGGTAATATGCGTAGGGCAAGAACAATGGCCAATAATTCTGCAATGAATACCGGGGTATAATCTGGGAGTCGAATCGAAAAGGACCAGTCCAAAGAAGGAGAGAAGATGCCAACCCCAGCCTTTTCTTTTGACACAGATGCATCAGTCGCTATGATATTGCTTATCTCTAGATGGGCTAGATAATCTGCTAACTGGTCATTTAAATACCTATATGCCAATTGTTTCGCGTTATGAGGAAATATATCATCGAATTGTATGCTAAGCATTGACTTTAGGTTGTGTATTGGACCAATATGTCTAATTTTTACATTCAGATGCTTTAGTAGCGCTTGTGCAAATACTATTTGCGGGGTATGTAGTCGCGACCAATGGGTTTCGAAAAATAAAGTCGGTTCTTGAATAAAAGCGTAAAATGAGAGTCTTTGGTGTGAACTGTATATATTTAAGAATGCTTGCACAGTAAGAATTTTAAACCTATTTAGCAGAGAAGGTAGGCGAGCTTCCATATACAACACGTTATTTGCAACAAACTTTGGTAGACCCAGACACAAACGCAACGCTTCTCTTTCCAGCAGTATTAGGGGTCTCATTTTATAGGCTGCGCTGCCAGAAAATAATACACATCCGAATTCCATGATGGGCCGCACATAAAGTTTATATATCATTATTAGCACATCTCTTCTTAAACCCGCTTTACGGTTTGCAAGCTTCCGTAGCCACCCCATGGCCCGTGTTGCCTTGGAGTACACATCATCAATGTGACTTCTCCAATTTAATGTGTCATTATCTATGATGCCCAAATATTTAAGGGAATTCGCCTGCGGAATGAGCTCATTACTGTACATTAACGAGATGTTGATAGGCTGCAGAAAAGAGAATGCAAGGAGCACACTTTTCTTTACGTTCAGGGTCATATGATTTGCGGCGGTTATCAAGCACCTCGTGCGAACACGTCAGCGTCGTCACTCAGTCAACATTATAACAGTGCAGCGACGTCAGAGTAATTATCACGCTATCTTTTTGCCAACTCAACATGCACCTCCCATGGGTGTATTCGTGGGTGTTTATCCTCTTTCGAACAGGTTCTGTCGTTCCACCTGCAGCATAAAAATTTACACTATCTAAGGCAGCAAGGGTGCACACGCAGCACTCTCGTGCTGCTAGTTTCCCTTCTATTAAATATTGCAGATAAATATAAGGGCACGTGGTCACTGGGGGCGCTCGCATCATGGCGGCAACGTGGCTGTGGTTGGATACGTCGTGATGTGTGGTAACATTGAATGCTAGACATTGTAGTCGCATAATGATGTCACTTTTACGTCTGCGCGCACGTGTGTATAGTTTGCACGATGAAGCTGATAGATTAATCGCGCCGCTTGAACGGAGGGTTTCTCCTCGGCAACAGCAAATGTGGTGGGCATACCCAATCTTCGCCGCGGGCGTCTGTCAATCAAACTGATTGACGCGTAAACTCAGATACAAACTCGTTGATTCTGCAGAAGGCCCCAGTTCAACTCGTCATTGTCATAGTGCTGGTGTGGCTGTCAAGTGTCTCATGCAGTGATCGCTAAGCAACAGCTTGTTTGCATACAAAATAATTTGGTGAGCTTGCACTACTTGCTCAAGGCTGGAGCCCTAGTGGAGCTAGTATAACCTTGCTTCTTGCAGCTTTTTCAGTTGGTTGTCTACTGATGCGCTTGGTCGGCTTCGAAGTGAAGAACGAGTCAGCTCTGTCTTAATGGTGATAGTACTAATTGGCTAAGGCTTAAGGACAATTACACCGATCTGTGTTATCTTCATTTATAAGGTTTCAATTAAAAGGCAATTATATCGGGGTAATTAACAAGGCCATGATCAGTATGAAGCTATTTAACGCAATCCTGATTGGCATGGTACTAATTGTCATTTTGTTAGTAAGAGAGAATTAGCATGGTTTTATTAGCGTGCTCATGATGAACGTCACGTTAATTAGCGGCGTTTAATTAGCTCATAAACTGCGTGTTTTGTTTAGCCTGGTCCTAACTTCACATGGCTGAATTAGCATGGTCTCCTTAAGATGTGGCGCAATTACCTCGGCCTTGCCATGATTTGGCGTAATTAGCTTGCTACTACGTGTATCACACCTTTTGCCTCACTAGGCGCCGCCATAGTCCTCTCTAGGCTGTTGTTAGTGCACGTGACCTTTCCAAAAATGCACTTCCGAGGCTTTAGTACTCTCATGCAACATCCCAGAAAGGAGGAAATCTATCTTTCCGTAAAAAGAAAAAGGGTCCAAATAACTAATTAGCTGGCTGCACGTGCTCGGGTGCTAGCGCACGATGACAATGAAGAAGACGCGCACCAGCCGAACACCACGCTAGAATGTACAGACTGACCATGATGATTAACACGTGGCCTCGGGTTTAGCTGCGGTCGCGATGTTGTAAGACACTCGGCCGGAACAAGTTTCAGAGGCCACCGGGCTTATTTATTCTAAAACAGACTTAGCGCAGGCATGATAATATTCAGAATAAATTTAAACACCCCGTGCCTCTAAAAAATATTATCACAAAAAGTTTGTGACGCTTTTTATTGCATGGCAACTCAGTGGAACGACCAACAAACAACAGAAGACGCCTCTGGTTTGAAAACTCCGCCCAACTTAATCGACCGTCCTTGACGCGATGACTGGTTCCATCGTAGCCAATGAACGCAGCCTGCTGAAGGGTGGATTTTACTTTTTTTGTACTGTTGGCTCATTCAAAAGGGGGTGTTGCCAGAACTTGGGAAGATGCTGAGTTTCGCGAAACTCGGGTGAAACTCGGCTGATCCTGCATATGACAGCATGACGTGCGCGCAGCCATTTACTATCTTCTCTTTTTTCCAACTAAAGCCCACCTTTTGTGTATCTGACGTTTATCTAGATAAGTTCCTCACTTTATTTTTCGTCTTTTCTTCCCCAACAGTCATTACCGTCACCATCATCATCACTGCCGTCGTCGTCGTCAACCTCTCTCATGTCTACCGCCGCGCGAGCTCCCTTCCCGACTTTCTTCAAATGGCCTGCGCGGGCTGATCTCTCGCTATGAGACTGGGTCGAGAAGAGAAGCACGTGACTAGACTACACGTTCTCTGGTCATCCCCGTTGCTTATTTCACTAGAACCATTTCGTATCATTCTCGATATGGACTAGCCCAACTTTCACCTTAAATATCTCGCTAGTGCTAGACAGGTCAACGCGGTAACTATTATCAATCTCATTGCGCGCACTCACCATGCAGGGAGTGCCGTGGTCGTACACGGTGCAGAAGACATTCTTGGGCACCTCCGTGTCATTCTCGTCGTAGCACACCTTGATGGCCACCGTCTTGACACGGCTGGCTCTCCCGTGAAAGGTCTGGCTCAGACCTTTCACGGGAGAGTCGTGGTCATCTGTGACGCAAGGTATAAAACGATAACTTGCACGGTTTTCATAAAAACGGGACTGAAAGCAACTACACAACAAATATTTAGGTACGCGATAAATGTGACCACTCATAACTAAGCCTGTTATGGAACCGTGCCAGTATCCAGCGGCTTGGTACAAAAATACCCGCCGCTTGTTTTCCAGAAATTATTGTGCTAATGAATAGAAAGAGCTTGGTTAAATGTTCATTGATAAGTCACGTGACCCAGCTCTGCAACCTAGCATCGTCCTCACGGTTGTGTCAGCCGTTGCTACTGCACGCATCCGCGACAACCCGAAGGTGTCATATATCTCTAGCAAGCCCGCATTGCGGCACGACGTTTCAATCTTGTGTGAGAACACACCCAAGCACACACAAAAGAAGCTTTAGTCTTCACAGGATCCCCGTACTTCACGAAACGCCAAAATATTTCAACAATCGCGTGTTTACACACCCAAGAGCCTCCCCCCCCCCCCCCCGCACGTAAAAAAAATGACCGAGGTCAATTTTTCTTGACATAATCATCACAACTGAAAGGGTGCGTTTTTTTTTCTTTTTTAATTTTGCAGAGGATGTGCGTATATCGTTATAACCTTTCGTTTTGTCGCGTGGTATCGCAGCGGCGAGACTTGGAGCGAGCGCAGCTACGACACTTCTCCGCAGCAGGACGCGTTGCGTGGCGTTATGCCTGCCACGCTTACACAGTGGTGGCTCAAGATGCTTGAAACGCGACAAATGACCGAGGGCGACAGCGTATATAGTACAGCTTTCCCTGTAAAAGATGGAGCGCATGAACATTTACTCACGGTGGGTGTGTCTGTATATAGCCGGTCGCGTACACGTTCCATCCTCCAACTACGGGTGCGCTGGGCAGGCATATGGGCTGGATTGTGTCGCTGCGGTTAAGCGGAGTCTTCAGCTTGAGTACGGCGATGTTGTTCTGGCCGAAGTGAAAACGTCCAATTAATCGCATGATCGGCAATATGTTGAAATTGAATCAAAACAATGGTATCGGGTTATGAAATGGGATAGTCTATAGAGCATCCCACAGTAGAAAACAGCAGTCAGTGTTGGTGAACAGTTAGCCAACATTCATAGGCGCGAGGTGGGTTCCCCATTCGGGGGGAGGAAAGGTCCAAGTATCGTCACAGCGAGCACCCTTACTTCCGGTTGGTCGAGAAGTTCAAACCACAGCATGCTCCACAATATTAAAAAAAAGTGAAGGAACAGCCTGGCTTACTTGCCATAATTGCCTGCTTTTGGTCTGTCGCTTGCCGAGAGAGAAGATGTAAAATAAACAGTTCTTGGAATGCAACATGAGAGGCCTTCGGCTGCAATTATGTACAAAAACCAACGTAGCCATAACCCTGAACTTTAAACAATGATGTAGCAGGTTTGACGGCGAGCGAGTATTCGCTACTTACTTCGGTGGTTATTACTACAGAGCATGGAAGCATGTGAGAAAAACAATCGCCGTATCACTAAAAACATGCAAGTATATATGCCATCGAGGTCTCTGTACTGAAACGATGTAAGGCAGACCTTGCACCCTCTTTTCAGGTGACTGCAGCCACCTCCTCTCTCCCTCTCTCTTGCACACCTGTATTAAGGTTATTATTATTCAGCCAATCAGAACACGGTTATGCAGTGCAAGTGGCATGCAGTTAATGACGATAACTGAATTCGGTCAGAATCATTACGTTCTTTGTCATTAAATTATATACCATTATTCTAACCACTACATCATGTCACTGAAGGTTGGTCGAAGAAGCCAGTAAGACATCGCACTTAAGAACTTTCAAGCTAAGTATCTGCGAAGTTCACAGGTTTGCTACTTGGAAGGATCGCCCGTGATGTTTGCTCTGACGGCTATAATGCACATCGGGCCACAGATTCTTGTGATATCACCATGTATTCACTCAGAAGTGCTCCGAGCCAATGTGAGATGCTTTGTCAATTGAAAAGCGGTGGAAACGCTTACCATGTGACCTCCCTGATAACCTTTGAAGACGCAAGTCTCTTCCACGTCAGCGCTCCTTTCTCCTTCAAGAACGGCGTCCCTCGAATGCGCTCCAGCAAGCACCTTCAGAACACCAATGTTTTTCAGCTTCCTGAAAAAGTGAGGAGTGACAGTGCTATAGGCGCGGTTGTCAATACGCCGGATCCCCCTTTATATGAAATCATTGCAAAGATTGCACGTGGAATGGATAGCCTGCAGGTCATGATGTGAGTAGTACAGAGACTCCATCTCTTGGCGGCTTCCCAAGCTTGCTGAATCTCCAGAGTTGGTCTTGGGGATCTGAGCTAGTCTCTGTGGCGCTCCCCTTCGTTCCCGGTTCATCCGAAAGAACTGCAGTTGTCTTCTGAACTATTTTGCAATCCCGTAGTATGTGATCTATGGGTTGGCTCATCTATACTTACATATTCTACATTCGGCCTAAGGGTACAATTCTGGAAATACGCGATTAAGATGTACTGTATTCGTGTAAGTTGTAGTTTAAGGGCACCTCTAGTCAGACACCTAAAACATGTCCAGAATCTTTTGATCTACAGCTACAATATATAGCACATATCAACCCTCAGACAAGAAAGCAGCCCAACTATTCAATTTAGACAGAATCCGTCTATTTTTTCCAATATCTCTCACGCTCTTTCTCTCTCAGAAACATAAAGAAACGTAACCGTATAACAAGCAGATTTTTTTTTCTATATCACCTCCTTGCTTTATTAGCACATCTTTTTGGCTCACCTTCCGTATACTTGTGTTACACCAGACGCATCCTATAGACGATTGTCCGAAAGACACATGGGAGCCGCCACCTTGGCTGCCCAACGCATGTTTTCATAGTTTTTAATATGCCTACATGAGTTAATAAGGTCATGAAGCTCTGAATGCGCCAATCCAAACGCTTTCCACCGTGTCTACCATGTCTACCATAGCATTGTTCGTTTAATTGTTAAAGACACAAAGCCGCAAGGAAAATAGGCAGCATCAAAGCCGATCTGTAAAATAGAGCATACCTTAACAGATGCAAGAGGCCGTCGTGACAACATGTTGTTCGTCGATTAGCGCGCCGCTGCAGCGGTGGTGGCCCAAGCGCGTGTTGACCTGAACGTGCCAGGGCCAGCTCCCTGGAACCGCCTCTTTGCCGCCTTCGATGCGGTTTTCAGCCTCCAGGTGGGGCTGGATGCGGGGCACACCGCACTCATCTGTGCAAGAGCGTCATTATACGACGTTGGTTATATGGTATGTTGATAGCATAACGTAAAAATTAAAAATGAAGACACAAATACTAAGCAGAATTATTGCTTAGGCAGCTGTAGATATATATCTATACGTGTTGTGTGTGTTTGTATGTACGTGCGTGTGTGTGCGCGTAATAATAATTGTTGGGCTTTAAAGCCCCAAAACCACCATATGATTATGAGAGACGCCGCAGTCGACGGCTTCGGAAATTTCGACCATCTGGGGTTTTTTAACGTGCCCCCAAATCTGAGCAAACAGGCCTACTACATTTCCGCCTCCATAGTAAATGCAGCCGCCGCAGCCGCGATTCGATCTCGCGACCTGCGGGTCAAAAGCCGAGTGCCTTAGCCACTAGGTGGCCACGGCGAGTGGGCGTGTGTTTGTGCGAAAACAAAAGGGGAAAAAAAGCAGAGAGAGAGAGAGAGCGAGAAGGCTGAGAGGTCAACCTGAACTTGTACGCTCTAGCCTGTTACTCTGCACAGGGAAAAACGGAAAGAGGTGAATGTCAGTCTTGTATACCGATTAGTGTAGTTTGACATCCCGCGCTAAATAAATGCAGCTCCACTACAGTGTAAATTCTGAGGAATAGCGTAGACTCATCGATTCCCCATAGACCCATAGCCTCTGGCTATGGGTCTAATCAGTGTTGAGCATTTCATGAAATGTAATCATAACAACCTCAATAATCTGAAAAAATGAAAAAAAGCCAACTCATAGACTTCCCACCACTCGGTTAACTGAACCATCGATGACGTCATCGTTTTTGATAAGCATGTAGGATTTTCCCGACGCGAGTGGAATCTTGCTACGGAGATTCGCAAGCTCCCCGTGCGACATGCAAGCTACGTTTTTCTGTGCTCTATTACCTTCCTGCTTGGTATGGCAGTTGAGATACGTGTCATCCGCAGCACGTTCAGTCATGTTGTTGTTGTTTTCCCCTTCAGTCGTATATAGCGCTAGAGAAGTGCCGGCGGTATATGAGCAGTCATGCGCTTCGTGAGGCGGTGCCGCCCTCTATTGCGTGACGCTGGAGACATCCAGATGTTTCAACGCTTCATAAGCGTTTTGCAGCTTTATGTTAATCATTGCGATTGCTTCTTGGTTATTTAGGTAATTATGTTATTTTAGACATTCTTTCTTTATTTGAACGCGCTTTCGAGCATTGCCAGCTTTCTCTTAATCCTGTGATGATCACTACATTTTGAGCCCGATCCCACCACGCGATATCTGGGGATGCACGGCAAGCCAAGCCCCTAGAGGGCTACACACTGAAATGAGAGATGTATGGTGATGATGGGGAGAGAAATGTGATGCGTATGTACAAACGCCACGTACCCAATTGTTTCGCTACAGTTTATAGTGTGCAGTCCTGTACTACTGAGAAAACTTATACCTGCTGCCACTGTACCAGTGGACTCTGTTCGACCCCACATTGCTGACAAAATGCCACTTTCACTTTGCGCTACCTCACCGATTCCTGCCCGTGATTAAGCCAGCATTTTTTTCTTGTGGAACGTAATCTGGGCAATCACAAAATAGGTGCTCTGTTGCTTCACACACTTAGCGTCCACAATTCACTCTTCCACGGAGCCAATGAAGTATAGACGTAATGGCAAGTCAAGGCAACGCCTCGACTAATTCAGTGCTGCGAATTAGCGTGGCTTCTTTTATTCTAGCTGGAGAGTGAGAGGTCATGACAGGGTGTGTTTCACGCAGATGCCTGTGTGGATATTCTGGTTAAGGTCACAGGCAGTGCCGCTGTGGCTCTCCGTTGTGTCTTCACTGTGTCAGTCTCTCTTTTGTCGCCATTTTGTGGTTTAAGTCTCACTTCAGGAATAAGTATCTACCGCTATCTAAGCGCCAACTTATCAAAAAACTAGTTATTGAGCAATATTACTTAGTCAAGCAAAAAGCTATAGCATTAACCAGGCTTAAGTTAATCTCGACTTTAAAAATAAAGTAAATTTAGAGTACCGGGAGTATACTCCGCCTCCTCGAACCAACACCCGCGCTCAAGTGAAGATAAGCCTAAAGGAAGATGTAGACATAGACTTAGGGACGGGAATGTCAGCAGATCACAGGCTGGCTGCCCTGTGCTGATGAAAGGAATAAGGGTAACAAAAGGTAATACATACGAGATGTTACAAAAAGTAGCAATAAAAAGAGGGGGAAAAGGAACATACGGCACTGCTTAAAGTTTGTCTCTTAGACCAGTTGCCCCCCCCCCAAAAAAAACGCAAGAACGCTTTCAGATTCAACTTTGCTGAGAATGGTCTCGGCCAGTGTCTCAGTACCACTTCCTCTGACAATGGGCAGTAGTCAAAAGCCGTTGTTACTTTGCTCGGGACACTGCAGTGAGCACATTCTGAAAAAGATGGGGGATTGTTTGCTCGCAGCTAGAGTTAATACATCTCGGGCTGCTGGCCGCACCAATCATAGATGAAGAGCAGATTTCACACGGACTTACCAACACGGTGTGCGGTGGCTGAGACGACTAGTAGGGCAGCACAGAGAAGAAGAGTGCGCATGTTTACGCCAGAAACCACTCCTAAAAACGAATGCTGAACCTACCTGAAAATAACCGATATTTATACCCCACTCTATTGTTTTCTGTACAATCGTCGCATGAAGATAACGGGGCTGAATAGCGTCGCATTGGCCTTTTATCAGTTTCTATCATGCTATAATTCTCGCTTCCTTTGTATTGTTCGCAAAAGGTAACTGTTCCACGTCGGATACCGATTTAGGTGACATAGTTGCACTTGGTTTAGTTGGCGTGAGACCTCTAGAGTGACTCCCGCTGGTCTAAATTGTCTTTGTTAGCGCAATGATGTGAGATACATGGTGTATAAGCAGTACCGAGCTGCGTCTGATATTTCAAGCGAGCCATCTGGGGATCTCAGGGTGAAAATACAGACATTCAGACGAGATCATCCGGTTATCGTCAACTCTAGACGTACCAAAACCCAGCACAGACATCTTTAAAAAGTGTGGTTGTTGGCAGTTATTTTTGTTTACAGGGCCTCGTTAGATAAGCTAGAAATGTTCAGATTACACTACACATTGCTTCGAAGCTTTTCTTAGTGTATATTCGCAGTATCACTCGTATCTAGGTTGTTATATTCAATTACTGTCATGTGGTACACGTGAAACGCTACAGATACCAGATATCACACAACAATATGCCATCGTATATTGCTCAACAATAACAAATAATTGAAATCTGAATTCACGTGCTCTCAACTCGGCTAAAAAAATTCTGTTTCGCGACGCACAAATACCGAAAACGTCATAACGTGGTCATAGCGGCTGTGAGGCAGCAGCAGGTGGGGTTAACCTCACCTATATACATGGCCGGCAACTGTCCTGCCTCAGCATCATCTGCTGAAGTGTAGGGGTCTGTCCACAAGGGTTACACGGGTTGCACCGCCGAATGTCTGTAGCAGTTGGGCCATCAAGACTCGTTGCACACTCCTCCCCGTTGTCGCGCGCCCTTCAGGATAAACGACATCTTCAAATGACCGGTGTATATGAAAAATTATCAGGAAGCTAAACAACAACACTGCTTTTTCCTGATTAAACAGTGAGCAAAGCCACAGAAAATGCATGTGTCGCTGATGACACTGCAGCAGGCACAGAGCGGCAAAGTGCAAAGCCGAGTCTTCAAAGACCAAGCCGGATTTCACGAGGCATTTTCTGGAGCTCACTAAATCGAAAAATGTCTTGTTGATAAGTTTCAGTAGACCGCATCTCACGTTGGAGTCGAAAGCAATCAAATGGCTGGTGTCCTTGCGCGCAAAGTGCGGACAAGTGTTCCAAAAGTATGAGCTCATAAAACTTATCTGAACAACAAAGATGTAATACACAATCACTTCCAGGGTGATCCACAAGTTTCCACATGTGTATTCTACGGACATTTTCTGGAGCACACGACGCTGTCGTACCGCATAAAAACACTTCACTAGATTCGGATGGAAGCCATTAAACTCCAAAGCTTTGGTTTGTTAAATCAAATGAAGAAGTTGTGATGGCGCGCTGCGGAAACACAATATTTATTGCCTCACTCCTGATCGGAACTTATTCAGGGATGGACTTTTTCAGCCGTCAAGACTATGCATTCTACTTTACATGCAAATTTTTCATTTGACGGAGATTCCTTATTACTACAAAACAACGTCCTCAAGAAACCCCACAGAAAAGATGACGCGAAACGTTTGTTTTCACTTGGCCTTGGTCTATACAAAAAGCCAGTGCCATAGCGCTGACACGTTACGTCACTACCTCCGCAATGACTCCTGCTTAACAGAAAACGACACATCACCTCACGTAACATCTCATCTCCGGGGACAGTTATTGTCCTTAAGCGTTCATGATCATCTGCCTATAAAAGAAACAATTTATTATTTAGTAGTGGCACACTGTTGTTTCATTAAGATTGATATTTTTGTCTTCCTAGATTTCATAACCATTACTTTAAAGACAAGTACTGAGCATAGTCTCAGGCCGCGAATCGTTGGTCAGCAAGAGTTGCCATTATCAGGCACTGTTCTACGTTTGCTTCACGTGTGCATAACATAGTTGAACGACAGGCGCAGCTTTTATATATAGGCTAGATGCTCTCTTTCCAATCATATGTCGTGTAATTTACAGCCTCTTGAGCATGCAATGAGTAACAAAAGAATAGCTGGAATTACCCGAGCCATGGGGAGAGACTGCTTGTGTCAGACAATCAACCGATGTCACACAGAGTATCAAACAATGAGCACTACACGCTGATATTTTCAAGCGGATATATGAGCTTTTTGGGTGAGCTGGTCGTAGTCTGGCGGAAAAACAACTCTGACTAAGCGACCTACCGACCAACCGACCATGTGTAAGTATGTATGTATGTATGTATGTATGTATGTGTGTGTGTGTGTGTGTGTGTGTGTGTGTGTGTGTGTGTTATTTTTCTCTCTCCTCTCCATCCACCAATCTCTCCCTTCCTCTTTACAAGTAGGGTAGCAATCCGGCTCGCCTTTCCTTTACTATGCCATTGCTCCTCTATTTTGTAAAACAGACCGATGCCTTCGTTAGCGGCAGCCACTCCTCCGTCCATTGAGAAACAACTAAAAGCCGAATAAATATTCGGAAGGTTGTAGCGAGCAGGGGATATTGAAATGACATGGACATTTGCTAAGTTCCACATGCAAACAAAGAAAAAAAGCAATGGAGAGAGGCGGGTACTTGGGCAGACACGCAGTTCTACAAAAAAGTGACAGGGCACAAACGTTTCTGGTTAACTTCGCGCAAGTGACAGCTACTCAAATGAGCGAAAACCGTAAGGCAGTGTGAACCATTATTGTATAGTCTACCGAAGTACCGCCTATCCCCACGGATTACCTGCGCCCCTTTATTCCACAATAAGAGACTTTGCATCCGTCCATATGTGCCTAATAAAACCACATTAAGGCTCAACAATATCAATAAAGTTATACGTCAGAGAACTGTTCAACAGTTCCTCATCACTTTCAGTAGTAATAATAATAATAATAATAATAATAATAATAATAATATAATAATAATAATAATAATAATAATAATAATAATAATAATAATAATAATAATATAATAATAATAATAATAATAATAATAATAATAATAATAATAATAATAATAATAATAATAATAATAAAATATCAGGGGTATTACGTCTCAAAACCAATATATGACTATAAGAGATGACATAGCGGAGGACTCCGGGACTTTCGACCATCGGGTGTTCTTTACTGACATCGCACAGGTACACGCACCTCTACCGTTTCGTCTCCACTACCACTTCGGGTCTGCACCGAGCGTTGTAGCCACAGCTCCACCACGGTGGACATAACTTCCAACGTCTATCTTTCTGTGAACTTCCACCCTGTATGCGCAAAAGAAAGGGAGCTATGCATATACATGCGACGTAATTCTGAAAAGTAAGGGCGGTTTGAGCCTCAAACGTTTAGTAAGTCGGTAGTACATTTGTAGTTTCCGTGTAGGTCTAAAACACGCTGTAAGTTCTCTTTTTTGGGTTTCCAATGTTGGCCAGTACATACATACATACATACATACATACATACATACATACATACATACATACATACATACATACATACATACATACATACATACGTACGTACATATATACAAAACATACATACATACATACATACATACATACATACATACATACATACATACATACATGCATACACACATACATACTTCCATTGCTCTTTTTCGCATCGACAAAGGGGTCCTTATCGGCGTGTAAGATAACAAGGGTTTTTCTGCATGAGTCGTGCTTGTTTTTATATTCTTTCACTTTTACATTTTCGCATTAATTTAAATCGTGATAAATAACCCATCAACTTGTCCGTGTATGCGTGCGCACAAGAAGGGCAGGGGGGGCGGCCGTCCCACTAATTGATTTATTGATTGATATGTGGGGCTTAACGCCTCAAAACTATCATATGAATATGGGAGACGCCGTAGTGGAGGGCTAAGGAAATTTCGACCACATATACGGGGTTCTTTAACGTGCACCCAAATCTGAGCACATGGGCCTACAACATTTCCGCCTCCATCGGAAATGCAGCCACCGACGCAGCCGGGATACGAACCCGCGACCTGCGGGTCAGCAGCCGAGTACTTTACCCATTAGACCGCCACGGCGGGGCGGCCGTCCCACCAAGTCACCTAAGAAGGAGGACCATACATTCCCATAAGGATTGGGTGGGAGGGGGGAGGTGCAAAGTTTGTGCCGTACATTGACGCATTATAGAGGGAAGGGGTGCTGCGACGAACCTTTGCCCCCTCTGCAGGGAAATTGTGCGTACGCCTGTAATCTCTACTACCAAAATTCAATTTCCTGCAAGCTAAACGTTTTCGGTGCTTTGAAAGTAACGTGACAACTCGGCGTGTGAACTCGATAAGTCCGATTTTGACCAGCGTCTTTGCTTCGTTGTTCAAGCCATTTGTAATTTGAGTGGCCTATAAACATTATCGTTATCCTGATGGGTATGTTCTCGTGCAGCCTACCAGGGAAAAAAAAAAGAAAAATCACCGCTCAAGCACTCCATACAGGTGGTCAACCAGCGAAGCTGAAACATGCAGCCACAGGTGATTGCGGACGTCGCAGCCGAGGCGACTCGAGAAGGACCCGTCGATAGAGGGGGTCGGCCCCAGCAAACACGTTTCCTGATGATGATGATGATGATGATGATGATGATGATGATGATGATGAGAAGGAGGAGGAGGACGACGACGACGACGACTATGATGATGATGATGACGATGATGATGATGATGAAAACTTTATTTCTCCCAAAAGAGGGGACTAGCCCAGAGGTCAATTACGCTGCTTAGAGGAGGTCATGAGGCTGGGATCCCTTGGGACACCGCGGCCTCCAATGCAAGTGATATTACCCGGTTAGAGTGCCTCGAGCGTGTAGCGGAGTGCCTCGAGCTGCGTTAGAGTGCCTCGAGCGTGTAGCGGAGGCGAACAAGCGCATCTATGGGCACCTTAGACACGAG